CTTTAGTCTTTGCAACTTTACAGATCTTCTTTATGCACCAAGAGCTTGTAACACTCCAAAGAGAAAGGAAAAATTGAAATCGCATCATATGACCCCTTTAATTCACATTTTAAAATGTAGTAAAATAAATTAATATTTTTTACATTTGAAAAAAATTGACATTTAAAACGGTCTATTTAGCTCATATTTTAAAATACAGTTAAATAAAATATTATATATGTTAATTGACAATGAAAACTGTCTATTTAATTTGTTTTACAATGTAGTTAAATATCACAAAATAATATATTTTGTTTACATTTAAAAGTAGTTAAAATAATAAATAAATTAAAAATACATTTAAAAATAAAATAACATTATACAAATGATGTTTTAAAATATAGTTAAAACATAAATAAATATATATTTTAAATATAAATTAATGTTTTAAATGTAGTTACATAAAACAATAAAATAGTAAATTAATAAATACTTTTTGTCAAGTGCCATTGAACAGTTTACTCAAAAACAGGCTTTTAACACAATTTAAAGAGACTTTAACTTACGACGCAATAAATAGAGTCAAAATGTAAATATATACAAAATATAAGCAAAACAATAATACTTGTTATCACTGACATCATTACTACTAAAGATGTGATGCCAAATGAAAATCTGAAAACATAATGATTATTTCCCAAAACGGGCCGAGGGACTTCCTAACAGTGGGGTATAATGGCCTGATGGTTGTTGTTTTTATGGAGCGAATCTTCATCATCCTCAGGCTCTCAGTAAACACACCAGGAGCGACTCTATGCTCTGCTTCTTCTCATGTTTATGATAAAGCGCCCCTGTGTATTTGGTGAGATCTGAGCCAGACCTTCACTTTGTTCTCTTCGACATCAAACAGTCTGTTCTGCTTCAGGAACAAGACCTGACAACCTCATAAAAGTTACATTTGCAGAGGAAAGGCAAAGGACACAAATAATATGCACAGACTGCAGTCATTTAAGCAGAAGAGAAGACTGAAGTCACCAGAGCTCGCCATGCTTCACCGGGGGACTGCGTCCAACAGACCGTGCACAGGAAGTGCACACAGCTGACAGGAAGTAGGTGTACACTCGAGTGAAAAGTGTAATGTCAAGAACATGTCCAGGTCACATTTCATGCCATTTTAAAGCCAATTTCAGCACCGTTTTTTTGGTTGTTCTAAAAGTATGGAGCTTAATCATGCTGCCTTCTAAGAAACCTTCTTTTGGGTTTCACATTTATCCTTTGCAAAGAAGACAATCCTATAATGAATGGACTGTGGAAAAATCCACCCACAAAGAAATTAGTGTAGGATTTACTTGGAAACAATTTTCACTCAGAAACTGGTCACTAGTACATTTCACAATAATTAGAATTAAACTAAGTTTTTAAGTAGAAAGAGAATATATATATATATGAGGTTCAGCACATAAGTTACATTTATATTGATATATTTTAATGGTTTGTTCATATATATATATATATATATATATATATATATATATATATATATATATTATATATATATATATAATTAAAGGACTTTCTGAGAATAATCAGAAGTTAGTTCATCAGTTACATGTAACATCCAAAAATGTTGTTCTAAGCACATTTTCTATTAATATTATAAGAACATTATATGGGTTTTCTGTGAATATTATTATCACTGTTTTCTGCTAATATTAAAAACACTCAAATATTAATAACATAAGAATGTTCCAAGCAACATTGTTCTAAGAACCTTTCCTCTTCATTCATCAAGTACAAATAGCATCAGATGTTCTATATACACATATATATATATATATATATATATATATATATATATATATTGTATAAATATATATATCTATTTATTTTACCATTAATTTATTTAATATAATATATTAAGATATATGCATATTTAATAATACAAATCTTTAAAAAAATCTAAAAAAATAATAAATTATATTATAATATTAAATTTTTTCTTAGTAAAACAGGGTGATTTGGAAGGTAATTAGACTTTTTAATATACAACCAAATAAACAGTGTCAAAATCTACTTCTACAAAATATAAAAAAACAACTGTTATTAGTATTATACATATATATTTGTCAGTGTAACAGAATGAAATATTTTGACTATTTCTATACTATTATAGTACTTGTTAATATTTTGTGTTAGTTTTTTATATTTTCAGTTTTCAATTGTAATTCTGTTATTGTGATTTTCTGTGTCATTTTTATTAGTTTCTGTTTAATATTTATTATTATCATATAATATTTTGTTGAGCAGTACTATATTTTAATTTCTGTTTTAGCTAGCAATAACAAAACTGCCCTCAATGTCTATAGTGGTTAAAACCCAGATATATATATATATATATATATATATATATATATATATATATATATATATATATATATATATATATATATATATATCTTGAAATGTGGTTTAAATATGTGCTTACATACGGTAATTATTTATTGATTTAGAACACAATTCAGAACAAAAGGCAATGCTCATAAGTCATAAGTCAATCAAATAAAAATGTAACAAATTTACAACGGGTTTACCATTACTTCAAACATTTTGGAAAGGATCAAATGTCCGGATATTATTTACCAGGTAACTTCTCCAATCAAATTCATCCAATCAGAATTTAGAGTTGAAATCAAAATAAAAAATCAGAAATATAAAAATAAGATAAAATAGAAATAGCAAAAAAGTAAATAATCTAATGTAATCTAATGTAATGTAATCGTTAACTAAAATTAACTACCAATGAGCAATTCATTTGTTACACTATATATTAACTTCTGTTAACATTAGTTAATAAAAATACAACTGTTCATACAGTAAGTTAGTTCATGATAGCTCAGGTCTATTAATTAATGTTAACATACACCTTTTGATTTTAAACATGGAATTAACATTAAGTGAAGATTAATATGCTTTAGAATTATTTTTAGTAATTGTAGTAATTTTTTAACAGCACTAAATATAATATAATATAATATAATATAATATAATGTAATGTAATG